GGGGGGGGGGGGCTGCCTGGAGCTTCCAGCCTAATCCACCTACTTTCACATGGGGACCCAAGTCCAGGGGGAGCCATGGAAAGAACACATGTAGGAAGGGTCGCAACCATGTGAACCTTAATTCTCACTTAAAGGAAGCTTATGCAAACAATCATTCTTTCCTCTTCTCTTCAGTTGCTAGGGGGCTCCCAAATAAACTTAGATTTAAAGTACAGCAGCTTGGTTAAAATAATTACTGCTACCATTTATGGAGTGTTTCATGCACTTTGCTAGTTTCTGTTCACCCATCATCTCACTTAACTCCTCTAAATATCTTGAAAGGTATGGGATATCTGCATGCTTCCCATGAGGAAACTGAGGCTCTGGGGTGGAAAATGATTGACAAAAGGTCACTTGGTTTGCTAATTCATTCTGGGATTTAAGGTCAGGGTGCTTGACTTCAAAATCTGTTTAATTCTTTTTTCCAATGACACTCTTTAATGCAAATGACTTCCCTCCTCTGAGCCTCTACTTCGTCACCTGTAAACTGGCAATGCTAATACCTACATCGCTGTGTCCATATGGTCAAAGCAAAGGTACAAAACAGATACAATGGTTGTACAAAGAATGACTAGAAAAGAATATGCGAGTTGAACCTGGGTCACTTGGCTCCACAACCACCTCTCATGAGGGGAAGACTGGCCAGCCAGGCCCATCAGCCTCTGGCAAGGACACCACCCACCAGTCAAGGAGCTATGAAGGGAATGGGCCCTCCTTTCTCCCTCTCTCAGCTGTGTGCTGGGGCCCAAGGCCCCTGGGGTGCAACAGGGGAGATATGCATACCTTACAGCGGCAGGCCTCCCCAGCGTTCCCCAAGCTGCCTCGCTCATCACAGCGTACAATCTCCTGGTCTGGAGGCACAAAGTGGGTGTTGGCAGGGTAGGAAGAAATGATATAGACATGGTCCGGGCAGATGCGGGACAGAGTGGGGCAGCTCCCCAAGGATCATGGGGTTTGTGCTGGGCTCAGGACTGGGGCCTAGTAGGCAGCCGAGGGAGAGGCCACGGGAAGGTGGCTGTGATACTCACTGGTGGGCCTGCACTTCCCACCCGGCTGGATGGGGTTGCCTTCATATCCAGGAGCACAGCTAGGGGAGACAGTGGGTTGTGAGTAGCACTTCCATGCCCCCACCCCATACAACCTGCTTCACCCTGTCCCCTCCGGCCTCTTTCACCTCTCACAGCGGCGGCCTGTGTAACCTGGGGCACATGCATCACACGTGGCTTGGCCATCTGTGTCCAGGAAGCAGGTATCTGAGAATCTGTGGGTATCAAGTGGTGAGGACATGGGACAGGGCTACAATGATGGGCGAGGCCAGGTCTTACAGTCCCTCATGGGGAAATAACTACTGTTCACATAGTCATGATGTCACCTCCCTTCCCACCTGTTTTGATCTGCAGCCTCATAGCAACACTAGGGATGCAGATGGGACCATTACATGGAAAAGGAAATTAAGGCTCAGAGAGGTCAAGGAACATAGAACAATTCAGTGGCAGGTTAGGATTTGAACCCAGGTCTCCCACCTCTTTGCCCAGAGTATGCCCCTTGCTTGTTGCACTGCCCCCTCACCCAGACTTATCTGCTCCATTTCGAGCTGGGTCCTACCTGCGGGAGGCATCGATGTATGGGCAAGGGCAGGGCCGGCAGGCCGTAGCTGTGGCCTTTGTGGCATCCCCAAAGAAGCCAGCCTTGCATTTGTTGCACTGTGGCCCCTCAGTGTTGTGCTGGCAATTCTGGGAGGAAGGGGAGGGAGTGGCTCAGAGTCTATAGAGCAACCCTCTGGCCCCAAGGGGGGCCACACTGAACCAGATGGGCTCTGTGAGGGTGGGCCTCTGAGGCTGCCTCCCCCATTATGCTGAAATTACTCCACAGCTTTGCAGACAGGGGAGCATCCAGCTGCATCCTGATGAGGAGCTCATCACCCCACATGGCAGCCTGTCCCATAGAAGGTTCCAAACGCCTGCTTTCTACTGACCTAAACCTGCCTCCTTCTTCTAATCTGTACCCACTGGCCAGGTCTGCCCTCTGGAGTCCCTTCCTTCTACCCCTGACAGCTCAGAGCTCCACAGTCCCAGCTCTCTCACTATTCCTAAGAAATGGCATGATTTATAGTCTCCTTCCCCTGAGGGCTGCCCTGCCAAGGGCCAAGCTTTGCACAGTACTCTCCAGCATTGGTCTGGCGAGGGTGGAAGAAAGTAGGACTTTCATTTCCCTCATCTAAACATTATATCTCTATTAATGCATCCAGAGGTCATGGTAGCTTGTCTGGCCATGACCCCTGCCTTTGTCCCCTGCCCCTAGCCAGTGTCCAAGTGCCAGCTGGCACGACTCACCAGGCAGTGGCCATACACAGGGTCACAGTAGCTGGCATGGCCATTGCAGTTGCAGCCGGAGCAGGTACCCAGGTAGGGCCCACCAGGCACCCGGGTAAAGTGGGCATCGCAGCTCTCGCAGGATAAGCCAGAATAGCCAACAGGGCATCTGTGGGGAAAGGACCAAGACAGTGGCTGCAGGAACCGTGAAGTCCTGCTGTTTCTCTCCTATCCTTGCCAGGGTCCCTGCTGGGTTAGGCACCTGCACTCCTCTACACTGTGGGCACGGCCGTGGCTGGTGGCGTAGGTGACAGTGGTATCCATGGAGATGTCGCTCAGCCCCACACTGGCCATCTTGGCGTACACTGTCTGGATGAGCACGGCCTCCAGGCTTTGAAGCACTTGCATCATCTCCGCCCGCTGAACTGGCTGGCCAGACTCATGGACCCAGTGCTCCTGGGTGTGGACAGAGGTGGCAGGGTGGGGGTGGGGGTCAGGTGTCAGTGCCTGCCCAGCCCATACCCCCTTTACCCCCAGCCCTGAGGGCTTAGGCACCACCCACCTCAGAGAGCTGGACCTGGCGCTGGTTCAGAGCACCGGGCTGGGTGGATGTGTGGCCTCGGGAGAGTAGGCGATATCCAGCACCCACGAGGACCACGTCCGGCCGCTGCACTGGCTCCAGCGTGCCTCGTGCCACCTCATAGCGTACCTTGTAGCGCAGTGAGCCACCGTAGGAGTCCACCTGGCAGAGACAGGGCAGATCAGGGCAGGGCAGCCATGGACACGCTTGATGCCCAGAGTGTCCAGTCATCCCCCTCCCATTTACTCTGCAGACCTGGTGCTCACTGTGTGCCTGGCATGGAGTTGGGCACAGAGAGCAGAGATGGGTAGAACCTAGGCTCTGCCTTCAGGGTGCTCAGTCCCGTGTGGCAGGGAGTATGAAATGCTATGCCAAAGGTGCCCAGGGAGACTAGAGGAGGGGCCCTTAACTCAGCACAGGTGTGGGGGTGGTCTGGGAGGGCTTTCTGAAAGCTGAGGCGGCATCCCTCCCAATCCGAGAGGGATGAAGAGCTGCTGCCCACAGGAGGCTGTGCTGGGGCACGACCAGAACTTTACCCACAGCTATCTTCCCTGCTGCCACCAGCTTCAGAGGGAGCAAAGCCCAGGCAGGTTCTGGGCATGTGAGGGGGGGCTCGGCCCCTTTCTTATCCAGGGTGGCAGCTGGGCCCCTCACCTTGTTGCCCAGGAACTGCTCAGGCAAAGCCCAGAAAGAGTCGTGGACCAGGAAGCGTCGGGACAGGTCAACCAGCTGGAACTCCTGCAGAGCAGTGTCGATCTGCAGCTGGGTAGAGGAGAGGGGTGGCACGCCGGGCTGCGCGGGCATTGTCACGTTCACGCCTGGGGGTGGCAAGAGGGAGGGGTTGAGGGCCATAGCATGTGACTGTCCCAGACACTACCTTAAGGATGGGAAAGTTCTGGGAGAAATCTGATTTAGAGAGAACTTTAGTCTCTCTCCCAAAATAAACAACAAAAAAAGTTTCTTTCTCCTCCTGTAGTTTTGGTGCAGCATTTTCCAAAGCATGCTCTAGGGAGAGCCAACACTGTGGAATGATGGTTGGGAAATATTTGGGAACCATAGGGTCAAAGAAAGGTCAAAGAGATTCTTTGCAGCAGGACTTCTCAGGGCCTTTTACTTGCCAACAGACCCAGGGACTGTCAGGGTTGGAACGGCCCTCAGGGGGCAGTAAAGAGCTACACGGGACTGAAGAACAGGCACCCAAGTCCTGGTTCTGCCACCCTCCAGATATGAGTCTGGGCAAAGGCCTCAGTTTTGCTATATGTAAAATGGGGTAATGGTGGCTTGCCTGACAGGGTTATTAGGAAGATAAAATGAGCAAACTGATATAAAATGCTTAAAACCAAGTGTGTGGCACAGAGGAAGTGCTCAAAAAACAGCTGTTATTTGTTGTTGGATGGTTAGCTGTTGTTGCTGTTACTGTGACCTGTGATCTAGCCCAACCCTCTCCTACACACACGCGCACACACACGGAATTCTCTCCACAGCATCCTCCCAGATCTCTAGGGTAACACCAACCATCCAAGAGAACATTATGTGATGATGGAAATAGCCTGTATCTACTTCCCAATATGGTAGCCACTAACCACATGTGGCTCCTGGGCACTTGAAATGTGGCTACAGGAAGTGGACTAATTTAAATTTAAATAGCTACAAGTGGCTAGTGACTACCACATTGGACAGCTCTAAGGGATGGGGAGCTCATTACTTCTAAAGGCAGTCCCTCCCAAGTCTGGACATGAATGACTCTCAGAAAGTTCTTCCTTACCCTGCTTCTATATCTGTCCACATCTGCCAGTAGCTTTTTCCCTTGACCCTAAATGTGCCCCAGCACCTGTGAAGGAGCCCCTCATCTCTAGAATGACCATATACAGCCCCTGAGACCAGGCTATACTGCCCCATACCTGCTTTCCTCCCTCTCTTTCAGGGATGTTTTTAGGCCCCCTCTATCCTGGTCACCATCCATGTACAGGTCACCTACTCAATCTGGAATTCCCCATCCACCTTGACCACTGTGATTCCAATCAGATAGGCCTAGGTTCCAGTTCTGCCTCTAAAATAGCTGTGTGACCCCAGGGAAGCCCCACCACCCCGAGGAGCCTCGAGGCCCTTTATCTGAAAAGAGTTGAAAACAGCCCCAACCTTGCCAAGACTATTAGCCACCCAATGACTGTGTGAGTCAAGTCACAGGGCCAACTGAGTGCTTGTGAAATGGTGCCTGTGGCCATTGTTATTCTAAATATACCAGGGAACAACTTTGGGATGTAATTACACTTTATAAGAGTCTCTCTGAGGTTCCACAGCCAACAAAGGAACATAACAGGCAACATGTGTTGAGTGCTTTCTGTGTAAGGTGCTAAGCCCTCCACTTGTACTTGATCTTCTGTGGTGAAGGAAATGAGATGAAGGGCTGCCTGATGTCAGGTGGTAAATGACAAAGCTGGGACTTGAACCCAGGTCTGTCTGATGTCTGGGCCCATGCCATTCTGCCTCTCAGAGCAAGAGGACTGAGTCCAGCTGCCTGCCTTAATGTTTGGGAAAACAGGCCCAGAGGAGCCATGACACTCCACCAAAGTCACATAGGCAGTAATTGGTGCAGCTGGAGGTCAGCCCTGGGCTCAGATGCTAAAGCCTGGGCTCTTATGCTCTGGGGACAATGGCACCTCTCAGTCTGTCAGGCTGAGGATGACAGTAGGGAATACTTACTGGGCACTTACCATGGACCAAGCGCTATCCTGCGAGGCTGACATATATTAATACATTAAGTCATTAAGAAAACCTGGGAGGTAGTTAGTCTTTTCTCCCCATTTTGTAGATGAGAAAACTGAGACACAAGATAGGAACTTGACCAAGGGCAATAAGGGTCAGAGTCAGGATTTGAACCAGGAATCTGACGCCAGAGCCCATCTTCTTCAAAACCTGAGGCAGGCAAATATCAAGAGTGGATTTTTGGCTTTTCCTAAAAATGTTTGTTTTCCCTTTGAAATGCTTTTCTCCCAGGGCTCAGCATTTGTTCAGCAACCTGTGTCCCTCCTGAACCTGGCCCCACGTGACCAGTGCTGCTGCTCTCCCATGTCTGTCCTATAAGCCCCCTGGAGCCTGGTGCCTGCCTCC